TTCTTCATCTCAGAAGAATGAATTAATAATTTTTTTTTTCAGATTTTTTTCAACATTTTTCTAACTTACTTCGTGGCAAGCACTTTCAACAGAAATGAGATTCTGCAAATCTGGCAATAATATTTTAGGCGTTTGCGCGGGAAAGTGGACTTTTGAAAGTAAAATGCATAGAAAAGCACAGACATTGCCACATCTTACCGCTTATTGAAAAAATTACTATGCATTAGGGTGGTTCAGAATTTTTTTAAATAATTTTTTTCCTCGGAACCATGTTCAAAAGTTTCACTTAAACGTCAAAATAAGTTTCAGAAAACATGAGCCCCTAATATTAATATTAAGAATGTCCGCATTAAACTTTTCGATTTCCCATAAAAATAACACAGGAAAAATTGTTATTTTTATACCCGAGCGCACTTGTGCACAAGGGTATATTAATTTTGTTCACATAACGGTTGTTTGTAACAGCCAAAACGAATCGAGATAGATATAGACAAATGTATACATAAATGCTCAGAATGAATAGAGAAATCGATTAAGCCATGTCTGTCTGTCCGTCTGTCCGTCCGTCCGTGTACACGATAACTCGAGCAAAAATTGAGATATCTCAACGAAATTTGGTATGTAGGTTTCCGTTAATCCAAGGTTGGTATTGAAAATCGGCGAAATCGGACTGTAACCACGCCCACTTCCCATATAACGGTAATTTCCAGAAATACGAAAACTGCGATATTTTAGTAACTACTGAAAATAATTCACTCAAAATTGATATTTACAATAATTGTCAGACGAAAAATAAGAATATTATAAATTTTTGGAAAATGGGCGTAGCCACGCCCACTTATGGTTACATGTGTATATCTTGGTAACCGCTGCACCAATTTCTTCCAAACTTGGCACAGTTGTTGGCCTTGATACAGCATACTAAATGGCCGAAAAATTAAAAAATCGAACAATAACCACGCCCACATCCCATATAACGGTAATTTAGAGAAATACAAAATCTTCGATAAATCAGTAAATATTAAAGCTAATTTATTCAAAATTGATGCTTGCTACAATTCTTTACCAGGAAATACGTTTATGGTAAAATTTTGGAAAATGGGCGTGGCACCGCCTACTTATGATCACATATATGTATATCGGGAACCGTTCTACCAATTTGTACCAAACTCGGTATTTTTATTGTGCTTGCCACATAAAAGAAAAACGTTGAAAATTATTGAAATCGGACTAAAATTACGGCCCCTTTTCATATAACGGTAAATTTCAGAAATGCTTGAAACTGCAATATTTCTAAATTTAAGGACGCTAATTTACTCAAAATTGATACACCCCGGCTTACCATCTAGCGGTAGCTTTCGGAAAGGTGAAAAAACGTATATTTAATACTTGCGCCGGGTATTTAATGATCGGCTCCACCCGAACTTAGACTTTCTTACTTGTTTACTTCTGATTTTTATATTTAACGAATAATTCATTCGTCATTTTTCGATAAGTCATCTCGGTCAAAAGTTATTCGAGGTCAAAGTTGAAAGAATGGTGAATTCGACTTTGGCCTTGAATAACTTTAGACCTAGTTACAGTACAACGTGTTGTTAAATATATAAATCAGAAGTAAAAAAAAAAATTTTCCTGTGTTATTCTTATGGGAAACGAAAAGTACGATGCGGACATTCTTAATAGCTGTTAATAAGAGACTTATTTTGGGGTGTAAATGAAACTTTTGAGCATGGTTCTGAGGAAAAAAATCCTGAATCACCCTACTATGCATACGTTAAAATGCTTTAAATTTTGCAGTTTATTACAAATATTTGCTTCTTGAAATAGATATTTCTAGCGTTGGTGGATATCATAAGAATTCTGTTGCGTTTTTCTGATTTTCCCATTCTTCCAAGCCAGTGCGCGTTTAACTACTTAAGATTTAGAACTTGCCACTCTCTTAAATTAAAACCTTTGCCTTTAATAAACATTCATGTACAAAATACGTATATGCATTACCTTGTTAAATTTTAATCCGCAAGTTGTTTATTTCGATTAGAAACTACATACGTGTGAATTGTATTCCAAATAATAAGTAGCATTGTTACACACTTATGTTATATTTTAATTGTTAACCTCTGAGAAAAAATTTATATGTAAATTTACACCTTTTTCTATAGCATCACGTTCTTTTTTATATTTTTAATAGATTTTTAATTATCCATTATCCATTATCCATCGGAGGTATTAATTGACGATATACTTCCAGTTTTAATAAAACCAAAAAATTTTTAGCTGTTAAAAAAGGATTTAAATGGTTATAAGTGTTAAATATTATGATTGTAACATACATATACATATATCTCTCTCGTTTGCCAATTATTTCTTTGTAAGCAAAGTTATCGTAAATGAACTAAAAATCGAATAAAAACTAATTTTTCAATTAAAGTTTTAATTATTTTAAGAATACTAGAGTTCGCTCAGCGGTTAAAATTCAACTTTTCAAATTAAGGGGAGTTGAGGTGGCCTGAGCTGAGCCGAGCTAAGTTTAATTGAGTTGATTGAAATGCGTTGAAAAACGTAACAGAATATAACATGATAGGAGTCTAAATCTAAAGTGATAAAGGGATAAATTGCTTAAATTTATCAGTTTATCCGCATTCTTTCATGAACGCACCTTGGTAAATAATTGCATAAACTGTTTATCATTTAACTTATATGGCTAGTTTACTTTCATTCTTACCTCGTCCATTGTGTTCATTTGCTTTTAAGTATTCATACATTTATCCACTAAAGTCGTTTGATAAAGTGATAAACTTTGGTTAAATAGATTTCCATACAAAGTTTGACAGTTCATTTATCAAAATAATAAATTTATCACCTTTGATGAAGGCTCCTGATATAAAATAACA